GGGTGGGAAGAGATTAACCAAAGAAGTTATATGCATATCTGCATAACCCATGGACGCAGACAATAATGAGTGAAGGCCTGGGGAGGGGGCAGGAGTGAAGTGGACAGGTCAATGGGGGGCGGGGGGAATGGAACACCTGTAATACTTTCATCAATAAAGATAAGTTTAAAAAAAATCAGCACAGAAGCAGTGACTAAATGGTGCACTAGATCAGATGGATTTAGTTGATATTTACAGAACATTTCACCCCAAAGCTGCAGAATATACATTCCTCTCAAGTGCACATGCGTCATCCTCAAAGAGAGAACACACGTTAGGGCACAAAACCAGTCTCTACAAGTTCAGGAAGATTTAAATCATATCAAGCATCTCAGATCACAATGGCATGAAATTAGAAATCAGATACAGTAAAAACACTCAAAAACATCAAACACATGGAGGCTAAATAGCATGTTATTAAACAATGAATGGTTACCAGTAAGATCAAGAAAGAAATCAAAAATTTCCTGGAAACCAATGAAAATGATCATACAATAACCCAAAATCTATGGGACACAGTGAAAGCAGTCCTAAGATCAAAGTTCATAGCACTATAGAACTCCCTCAAAAAGCAAGAAAAAAATTTAGTAAACTCTCAAACCCTACAACTTAAAGAATTAGAAAGCTCCCCTGTGAAGCCATCCAGACCAAGGCTTTTGTTTGTTGGGAGGTTTGTTTTTTTTTATTACTACTTCGATTTCATCAGTTGTTATTGGCCTATTCAGGTTTTCTGATTCTTCCTGATTCAGATTCTTTCTGATCTCACTCATATGTGGAATCTAATAACAAAATAAACTGAGGAACAAAATAGATCCAGAGATACAGAAGCGTGGAACAGAATGATGAATCTCAGTGGGAAGATGGGGGTGGTGGAGTAGGTGGGGAGAGATTAATCAAAGAACTTATATGCATATAAACATAACCCATGGACACAGAAAATAGTTTGTGGAGGGGTGGATGTGGCATGGAGGGGATCAATGAGGAAAAAACGGGGGGATATCTGTAATATTGCCAACAATAAAGATAAATTTAAAAAAAATAAAATTACTATCAAATGAAATTTACAGCTAATAAAGATTTAAAGGGTCCTGGTGGTGATCCATTTGTCAAGTGCAGGATGACTTTCTGAGTCATTTCATATCACCCTCAACTTCATTATGCTCTATTTTGTATTCATTTATGGTTATGTCATTCATATGTGTGAATCTTATTTTCCTGTTTGTAAGTTCATTTGAGTTAGGACTATGACACCTAAATGTGTAAACCAATGATATATTCATTGAAAATTCCTCAAAAAATTAAGAATTCAACTGCCATTTGACTCAGTGATCCCCCTTCTAGGAATATATCCTAGGAAATCCAAAACACCAATCAAAAAGAACTTCTTCACCCCTATGTTCATAGCAGTGTAATTTACAGTAGCTAAGATCTGTAAACAGCCCAAGTGCCCATCAGTAGATGAGTGGGTAAAAAAACTGGTACATTTACACCATGGAATACTATGCAGCTCTAAAAAAGAAGTATATTTTACCCTTTAGGACAGCATGGAGGGAACTGGAGAGTATTATGCTAAGTGAAATAAGCCAGTCAGAGAAAGACAAATACCACATGATCTCACTCATATGTGGAATGTAACAAGCAAAATAAACTAATGAACAAAATAGAAGCTTTGAACAGACTGAAGGACCTCAGAAGGAAGGTGGGGTGGGGGAGTGGATGGAGAGAGATTAATCAAAGAACCTATATTTTTATATGCATAACCCATGGACACAGACATTGGTATCTGGAAGGCCTGGTGGTGGGGTGGAGGGGATCAATGGGGGGGAAAAAGAGACATTTGTAATACTTTTAACAATAAAGATCAATTTAAAAAAATAATAAATGCAGCAAGAAATAAAAAAAGAAAATTCCCAACAATTTAAGTGCCTTTTTAAGTTGATGTTTTAAGATATTTTTCTCTAGTGCATTACACATGTATACACAAAAAGTGTGATGATTTTGAATTGTTGAGAAGTGGAAAGCTTTTTTAGATTGGCTAAGAAATGTTACAGAAGAATTAGGAATCTACTGGGTTGTCATGGTACAAGGAGACATAGTTGAATATTAGAGAAACACATTTGCTTCCTATTTCAGTCCACTGTAACAAATATGCTGGAAATGAAGTTTGCTGATGTTTGTAGATTTGGGTAAAAAGTGGAGAGAGGTGTATATTTTTGGTAACAGTCTGACTAATTCAAGTAAGGTCAAGTAACAAAGATGCTATATCATAATATCTTGAATTTATAGCATTCTTCTTTCAAAGATTTAAAGAATTTTAAATGTCTCATTTATTTCTACTAACATTCAATAAAGATAGGTAATGGCTACCATCTTCCATAAGATTTCTGAGGATAAATTGAGCCTTGGGAAGATTAAATGAATATCCAATTCTTGGCTATCAGTGCTGAAGTTGATGCATCGTAATACCCAGTGTAGATGCTTTTTTCTGATAACACAGCATTGCCTTCTGCTAGAAATATCCCTTGAAATTATGTACTATGCCTGGTGGTCTCATTCCAAAAGATGGCATCAATTATCACTATGTTGATAATTCTCAAAAACATTTCCTCTAACCCTGACCTGTTCCCTGAGTGGCAGGCACATATCTCCATTTTATGCAATACTATGCATCCACAAAATGGAAGTGCATTTATGTTTATTGATAGACAAAGATGCTCTTCAGTTATTGAATAAAACATGCAAGTTGCAAAATAGCAGAATAGTGAGAATAATTATATGAGGTTATTTAGATTAAAAAACACTTTAAATGAGTGAGTTGTATGGTATATAAATTATATCTCAATAAAACTTACAAACAAACAAATCTGTAATTATTTAATTCAGTGAAAGTTTTATACAGTGGCCTTTGCTGCTGGTTGAAGGATCACATTTTGAGAACCATCGAATTAAAAGATTTTCAATTAACCTTTATTTTCTCCCAAATTCCCAGTTCACCAGAGATCTCCATTCTCTGACAATTCTAGTTGAGATTTTATTACAACTTTCTGTATGATATGATGGGTTGCCATAGGATTCTCCTTTGATTTACTATAGTTTAGAGTCTCACAGTCATTGAATGGCATAGCTTAGGAACTTCACTTTCTATTCTTATTCTGCAGGATGAGGAAGAGGATCTCAGGACTGAACTCAACCTTTTGAAGAAGTACTCTTTCCACAAAAACATTGTGTCTTTCTACGGTGCCTTTTTCAAGCTGAGCCCTGCTGGCCAGAGGCACCAACTTTGGGTATGTATTAATTACCTTGATCTTATTCCACACCACTAGGTCACACTTGAGGATACATACTTCCATGAGTTGAGATAGCACACAACCAAAACAGTTTTTGTTCCACTCCAACCATAACTCAGGCTTGTCTCCCACACAATTTTCTTTCTAAAGGCATATACTCATTCTGTTTTCAATAAACTGAATATTCTTCCTTCTCAGCATCTCCAAATGCTACGTCTTCTATAAGGCTTGGCTCAAATCCCACCTCCTGATTAAATATCCCTGGATGGGTACCTGTCGTCCCTCCTTCCCCGGATATTTGGATTTTTTCCAACTCCTTTTTAAAAATTTTTATTGAATTTATTGGGGTGACATTGGTTAATAAAAATATATAGATTTCAGGCATACAATTCTATAACACGTCAACTGCGTATTATGTTATGTGTTCACCACCCCAAGTCAAGTCTCCTTCCATCATCATTTATCCCCCTGTACATTCTTCTACCTCCCCCACCCCCTTCCCTCTGGTAATCACCATACTGTTGTCTGTGTCTATGAGTTTTTTTCTTTGCTTCATCCCTTCCCCCTTTTCACCCAGCCCCCCAAAACCCTCCCCTCTGACAGCTGCCAGTATGTAGCATGCTTCAATGTCTCTGGGTCTATTTTGTTTGTCAGTTTTCTTTGTTCATTAGATTTTACGTATAAGTGAAATCATGTGGTACTTGTCTTCTTCTGACTGGCTTATTTCACTTAGCATAATACTCTCCAGGTCCATCCATGCTGTCATAAAAGGTAAGATTTCCTTCTTTTTATGGCTGAGTAGTATTCCATTGTGTAAATATACCACAGATTTTTTTCCACTCATCTACTGATAAAGAACTTACACACTCAACACCAAAAAACCCAAAAAATCCCATTTAAAATGGGCAAAGGGCCTGAATAGACACTTCTCCAAAGAGGACATACAGATGGCCAAGAGACATATGAAAAGGTGCTCAATGTCACTAATCATCAGAGAGACGAAAATTAAAATTACAATGACATATCACCTCACACCTGTCAGAATGGCTGCCATCAATAATTCACAAAACAAGTGCTGGTGAGAACGGAGAAAATAGAACCTTCTTGCACTGTGAGTGGGAATGCAGACTGGTACAGCGAGTGTGGAAAGCAGTTTGGTTACCTCAAAAAATTAAAAATGGATCTGCCTTATGACCCAGCCATTCCACTTCTGGGACTATATTTAAAGAAACCTGAAACAATATATGCACCACTCTGTTCATTGCAGTGTTACTTACAAGAGCCAAGATTTGGAAGCAACCTAAGTGCCCATCAGTAGATGAGTGAATACAAAAGCTGTGGTACATTTTCCAACTCTTTCTAATTCCACCAGTTTTTGGAGTCTTCCACTAGACAATTGAGTCAGTCTTTGCAGTGTCTTAATCTCTAAACATTACATATAAATACAAGCCATATGGACTAAAACTCTCCAGATATTTTCAGAGAATTACTTTCTAATTCTTGATACTTTGCTGGCTTCCCTACAGATGGTGATGGAGTTATGTGCAGCAGGCTCAGTCACTGATGTAGTGAGAATGACCAGAAATCAGAGTTTGAAAGAAGATTGGATTGCTTATATCTGCAGAGAAATACTTCAGGTGAGTCTTCATATAATTACTGTCTTCTGGCCTTGAAAATACTGGGAGTAATATATACAGTGTACCTGAGAACTGTTCATATAGGTTGGCTTAATAATTCTAAGCATGACCTCTGGACCAGGATACCAAAAAAGACCAAAAGGATTTAGAGAAAGCAGATTTTGAGGTGATGTCCTTAATCTTTAAGATAGACCACAAGATTTGTAAGCAGGTCCTTCCAATGGATCATGGTCATAACCACTTGGAGTATTTGTTGTTATTATGATTTTAGAGTTATTTTCAAAGCATAGCACTGTCTTTAGAGATTAAAATGAAGGTGATGTAGAAGGCAGTGTTTTATAGAATGGCCCCAAACCATCAGCAATCATTTTGCAGACAGATATTCTTTTTAAATAATGCCCTACTTTTAAAACTTTACTTTAAATACTAAATTGGATGGAGGTGACAATCTTCTTGATCTACCAAACTCAAAATTTTCCTTGAGGATTAAGTGCTTAGGGAATACCCAAGAAACATAACAGAACTAAACAGCATCACCGATACAAAGTTAAAATGCAAAATTGCTAGACTGAGTTTAAATTCTGGGTCATGTATTAGCTGTGTGTCCTCGAGTCAGTTACTTAATTTTTTCATATCTCACCTTCCTCATATATAACATGGGCTGATATTAGCACCTTCCTCAAAAAAATGCTGTGAGAAGTTAATAATGAATTGCATGTAAAACACTTAGCACAGTGCTTGGCAAAGAATAAGAACTCGATAAATAGTAACTGTTTTTACTGTTATGTCTATTATTAATCCCCAGTTAGTATCTGGAACAATCTCACTAAAGCCAGATCACACGTTAGCCAGGTCACGAGTTAGTTTCAGTGGAGCCAGCATGGTAAGCCAATACAAATTGCAAATGCTTTAAAATGAATTTTTACATTCTTCCAAATTCTCAGCCTACAAGGTTGACTAGAAAATGTTTTGGACTAAACAAATGGTTGAGTGAGGAATAGAGCAAAATAATGGCTGAACTATAATTTTAAGATGTCCAGGTCTTCACTCTTATGGTTTGTTGGAAATATGGAAGCTAGAAAAGAAGGTAAATGGCCCAAAGTATACAGAAATATTACTTTTTGATGTTCTTTTTCTTTCTTGGGTGTCCTGATTTATTTTCCTTTCCTTATAGCCAAAAGTAATATTTCTGGGAACCGGTTATAGTAATTCCAGCCTAACGAAAGAATTTTGTCTGAAAAAATGCAAATGTGGGCCGTTTTTATTACCAAAAGTTTTTCCAAAGATATTAAGAACAGTATAAGAAAAAGAGAAAAAATATGTACTGATGTGGCTTTTTAAAAATAAATATATTATATGCAGGGCTTAGCTCATCTTCATGCACACCGTGTAATTCACCGGGACATCAAAGGTCAGAATGTGCTATTGACTCATAATGCTGAAGTAAAACTAGGTAAGTTTATTCTTACAATACTTTACGTGAAGCTCAAAATATCTTAATGGAGAAAAATCCTTTAAGATATTTGTGTTGCCTATCATATTCCTAACAATATCATTTACTTGTTTAAACTGTGCCTTCCCTGCCCACAAAACAGTCAAAATTTGAAAATTTGTTTGGGAAGGGAGGTGGGGTAAGACAAATATACACCTAACTGCTTCTCTGAAATCATACAGAAAATACACACTTTTAAATTACAGTGGAAGGTTTACATTTTGGTCATTGCTTTCCCCTCTATTAGACTAGCTGTTATATTTGTTTCAGTAATTGAATTGTGTATGTACCATTTGGAAGTTTCTGTTCCATGGACAGGGGTCAAACAAAAAGCCATTTCTTCCACATTACAGAGGCATACTTTCCAAAGAATATCAAAGGACATTTAAATTACTTAAGTGCAAATTGCTTCTTTGGAATTTTCCTCAGATATTTAAAGAATGAATATCAATTAGAAATGATGCTCCAGTAGTATCCAAATCAAATTCAGAATTAGAAATCAAAAGATCAGAAAGTCCCTGGCTTTCTATTCTAAGGCTCAGAATGTCATGATTTATTTGAAAATAACCACATGCTTTGTCTCATAGGCACATAGGGAACAATATTACATCCTCTAAAGTTTAAAATAAATATTATTGGTTGGATTTTAAATAATACCATATGAATAATGTCAGTATTTTCTAATGGCAGATAACCTCATTGATATAGAACATAAATCACTGGTATCAGATCCTGCATTATTTTTTAATCGTACCAATTATTGCCTAGCATGTCTCTAGCATGACCTTAAGATAGTTCCCATTTTCTTGCTGAACAACCAGAGTAGAGATTTTATTCATTTACTGAGAATGGTTTTCACTGAATATTTGTAGAAGAATCATGAGGGAATTGTTCTTAAAATAAGTGAAAAATAATTTTAAGAAAATGTATTATGTCTTTCGTGTATAAAAGCTAAAGCTGGAAACACAATTTTGAGACACTGTGTTAAATACATGAGGGGAATTTGAATCTCACATTCAAATGTACAGGATAGATTGTCTGTCACAAAGCTACATATTATGTTTACATGTGGCAGAACTTCCATTTATTTGGGTCAAGTTGCTGGCCAACCCTACCATTTACAACACAGAGGATTTTTAAGTAAGTGAAAAGTCACTGAAAAATCTCTCACAAATTCTATGCACTAAAGCTCATTTCCTTTTCTCTGAGGGAGAGACCTTAAAACATTGGTTTAAATTTTATTTGGACTTGCCTTACACATAACCCTTGTGCATGTGATTTTAGATTTATCATATTCCAGCACATTTTTAAACAACATTTTCTAAGGAAGACAAACCCAATGACAGCCAAATGGAATCACAGGAAAGAAAGACACTGGAAAATTATTGTATTGCAATTTCAATTGATCAATAATCCTCATATTCTGGTCCTTAAATCATTAAAGAAAAGATTAAATTATGCCAGTATAAAATTCTGATCTCTACTTTTAATTTCAGCTTTTCTTTTTTTCCTTTTACTCCATTGATCACCCTTTCTTTTCATCTTTTCTCCTTTCATTGTGTTCCCCGAATGTCTTCCATCAGCTATGGCTTTCATTAGATACTTCTTGGCCCTTAAAGTTGGCCCTCAGGGATAGTAAGAATGCTGAGTTCTGCTTTAACCTATTCTTGGAAAATAATCTAGATAATGAGATTGTGCAACACCCAATGATGAATTTCACATATCACAGACTTTTTATTGTTGTTCTTGTTAGATCCTTCCTTAAAGACTCCTTTAAATGCTTACCTTTTTAATTTTTCTTCTCTTTGTCTAAATTTTTCGAACTACTTTTCGGTCAATGTTTTCTCCATCCTCTTGATTCCTGGGAACCATTCTAAATTAGAAAATCAACTTCATTTTTTATCCTTTTCTTATTTGTTCTCGACTAATCTATGTTAGCTTTTTTCTATCTGTTTCTGAGGATACCATACTAAATATTTTCCTATAATGTATTCCACAGATGAATAGAAGACTGAATTTTATAGTCTAAGCTAAGCTATGTACACTACAGTAAATATTTGCACCTCATTCAGATCTGTAGAAAAATTATAACAGAAAACTCATTTTTCTTTATCAGTGTGATAGGAATTTTTAATGTCATGAGTGAGACTTCCTAATAAGCTACTACTATGTTTTAGATTTCTTAGATGTTGCTTATAGTGCTGCTCTTCCTCCAGCTTGGTGACAGGTCCAAACATTACATATGTTATCACTTCAGAGGTTTACAGTGTACTGATGGAACTTTATTTTTAATATTCATGGTAAACATTCAGCCAAACCTACTGTTGATTTATAATAGCACTGCTGAGTCTCTTTCCAATATAAATAGCAGAAAAATCCTATTTCCCAGTATTCCTGGAGTAGACTTCATGGTAAAGTTTGCTGGACTGGAATAAAAATCTGTTATCCATTGTGGCTTTTGTATTTTCTAAGTTAAAGCAATAACTTATTGAGCTTTCTGTTACTGATGAATTATTTTGACATATGCTGAAATTTTCAGTGGATTTTGGAGTGAGTGCCCAGGTGAGCAGAACTAATGGTAGGAGAAATAGCTTCATTGGGACACCATACTGGATGGCACCTGAGGTGATTGACTGTGACGAAGACCCTAGACGCTCCTATGATTACAGAGTAAGTGTAAGGATGCAGATAGTGGGAATCAAAATCTGGGAAGGAAAAAAAGAAAAGAGTGGCACCAAAAAATTTTGGAAAGGACTTTTGACTAATGTTTATTTTTAAACGATAAAATAAAAGATTAAAAGGCAGGCAGCTCCTCCTTTCACATTAAACTCTAATAGGAAATACTAGCCACTATTCCTATATGTGGTTTTATTATATGCAGAAAAATATTTTCTAAGAATGTAGACAAATTAGACCACTGGGCGTTCTCCATATTTGAGAAAGGATGACTAGTTCATGTTGCTTGTAACTTCTTGGTAAAATATATTATGTGGCTTTATATGGAAATTTAACTTTCAGGAACAGAGGCTTTATAAACTTAAAAATGAATACATATAAAGTCATTTATTAATCCCCACAGTAATTTAGCTCCAAAAAGAAAAAAAATACTTTCATTGCTCAGGGTAATAGAGAATATTTTTGTCATGGTTCACCTCCAAACCACAAAAAATCAGTAGAATCGCAAATTAAGTAACAATTCAAGTTATTTATTAAAATTTCCACTGAAGCTGCAATTTGGACAATATACATCTATGTACACATTTCAAAGAGCTGATGTGGAAATAAAACTCTCCATTTGCTATAGACTGGAAAAACCACACTCACTCTCCACATCATAAGTCATCCAAATAATTCACTGTGGTTTCATTTTGTGTGGAACCCAGGACTAGATACCTGAAGTTGATTAATTCAAGTTCCATCTCTTTTCCCTTTCCCTTAAATGTCCTCTGCTTGATTAGCAAGCCGATCTATTGAAAGCTTAGTATATAGTCCAGTGCTATAGTAGCTATGGAGGCTATGGAAATATACTGCTCTTTAAGTGGCTTACTGTAAAAATAATGCTTTATGGTTGTACAGCTTTTTGCAGTCTTCCAGGGATTTTCACAACAGTAATGATTTATTTTTAATTTTTAGCCCTGTATAAATGAAAGAAAGCTTAAACTTAGACCTTCATAACAATTCTTTGAAGCTACAAGTTCTGTAAACTGGTGCTCTGAGAATTCAATTAACTTGATTAAGAGTCATACAGCCACACAGTGTACTTCTAGTCTTGTGCCATTTCCACATCCTAAAAAACAAAGTATAGTTAATAATAGTAAGGATAATTTCCTAGATCCTCCTTGAATATAATTTCTTAGACTTATAATAATTCTATCCCCAATTTGCCATATTCAAGGAACTTCTTAAAGTATATATATATGTATACTTTATTAATATACAGTGGTACCTCGGTTTTCGAATGTAATCCATTTCAGAAGACCGTTCGAATTCTGAAATGTTCGAAAACTGAGGGATCAACAGCCAACAGCTGGGCCTCAGGACCGTGCCCTCAGCAGAAGCCCTGTGGCATGTTCGATTTCCGAGGCGTGTTCGAAAACCGAAGCACTTCGGGTTTATGGTGTTTGTAAACTGAAATGTTCATCCACGGAGATGTTCGAAAACTGAGGTACCACTGTATATAACAATTTCATAAGTGGATACCATTATTATCTCCATTTTACATAGGGTGAAATTGAGCTACAGAGAGTTAAATTGTTTACTTAAGATTGAACATTTAGTAAGTAGGTTTATGTAAGGGGATTTCTTGACAACAAATTCCTTTTGGTATTTCAGTTAAGGCAATAATAGCAATATATCCATGATGATTCCTCTTACACTTAACCCCATCCCATATCAACTTCTGTAGAACAATACTAGTTGATGACAAGCTCAGATAATGTCTTCCTATAACAACAGTCTATAGAACATCCATAAAAGGTTCTAGCATTGACACTACCACGATCCCTCAGCCAAAGATTATTTTGAGATTCTAAATATTATAAGTTTCTTATCTTTATGTGACTTTTTTTTTGGTTCATCTTTTTCTTTGCAGAGTGATGTGTGGTCTGTGGGAATCACTGCTATTGAAATGGCTGAAGGAGCTCCTCGTGAGTAAAAATATTTGACGTTTGTTAAAAGTTAGGGAAACATATTGTTCAAATCTGCCACTTGTACCACACTATATGCCAAACTATAAATGGTGGCCTTTTTGACAATTATGAAATGCTCTAGTCAGGATGGCCAGATATGCCTATAAAAAGAGATTTTGCTTTTCTCTTTTATGTATCTCATTTTAGGTTGACTGAGTATTCTTTCAATTTAGCCTCCATAGTATTTGGCCCTGACAGTCCTCACCCACCAGAATCTAAAGGCATTTCAAAAAATATTGACTGGTGGAGTATTTAGGTTTCAGAACATTTACAGTCACACACTGTTATTACTTCAGATGGTGACAGTTGAGAAAATCTTCCAGTGGTTGGTTGGAATTGAGCCAATACTCAACAGTGGTGGAAAGTAAGCTTTTTTTTCCCTTTGGAGTCAGTCCAGCTTACCTTTGGTGCTTTCCTTGCCCCTTCCAACCATTCCAGTACCCTTAAGAACTCAGAAGGCTCCATTTATTTTTGTTTCCTCTTCTCCCCATTATTTAAATGATCTATCAGCATCCTGTTTCAGGACACTGCTTTCTGGTAAGAAAGAGAAAATGGAATGTAAATTTGGGTATAAATTATTGACAACCATATAATATATGGCCCCACAAGCAGAGCATATTTGCTATCTTAATTACCTAAACCCAAAAATGTGAATGATAAACACATTCTTGGTATTGTTGGATGAGAAGTGAGAGAAATGCCTGGAGTGTGTTTTTTGGAGGTGGGTAGGGGGACTGGATTGTCTTGCTTCTGCCTCCCCAAGCAGATCCTATCAGTTCCTATGTTCCTGCATGCTCCGTCTGCACAATGTCCACACAACAAGCTCCAATGTATTTCAAAGCCAATGGGAGCAAGTTCAAGGAGGTGAAATAGTGGTAATATAATTGTTAAGAATTGCTAGTGTCCCTCAGGATATCATAGTGGGGCCTTGTATAAAGCTTGGATAGATGTGGAGATCAGGTTGCTGCTGCCTCTCCTCTAGTGTCCAAAAACCTACAAAGTATCTATGTTGGGTGAGTAAAAATTAAATTATATTTGCTACATATATAAAATTGAAATGAGACTGGGAAAATGCATATTACTGTTCATCACCACTCAATTATTTCTCTGTGAAAGAAACATGCTTAGATGACTTTAGATAGAGCAATAGGTTTCTCCTTCTTCTCCCTCTGCCTCTCCTCTTTCACTTCCCCTTCTCATTCTCTTTCTTTCTTCTCTCTCTCTCTCCTCTCTCACTCTCTCTCTAAATTTACTATATGATATTTCATATGAGTATTGATGCATGTATTTGGTTAGGATTCATGACTGCATCAAGCAGTATATTTTTTTCTACTGTTTCTGAGTGTTTCTCACCACTTATCTTCAAAAATCTAACTTCCTGCGTTTTGTAGATTTGTATTTCTTAATTCACTTCTTTGTTTCATTTTTTTATTCAAGAGTATAAAATTATTGGAGAAAAGGGGTAATAAGCAAACTCAGAGAAGGAGTGTAGAAAAGTTTTCACAGAGTACACAAATGGCAAAGTTCTTGTAAAAGACAAGTGAAGACCAAAAGATTCTTAACTCTTATGAGAAAAAATAGGATCAACATTCCTGGAAAAGTAATTGGAATGGTGTGACTTTCGGTCATGAGTAATTTGAAATAGCTACACTGCTTAAAAAAAAAAAAAAAATGTTTTTCACCAGATTTAATGACACAAATCCTTCAGGTTATAATTCCCATCTCAGAGGGGATGACCTTCTGATGCAACAGTTCTGTGATAATTGTCTCTGAGGTCCAGATAATAAAATTCTTTTCTTTCTTTGGTGAGTCTCTCCAAGAGAAGTAAATAGAGAGGGAGAATAACTTCTTATTGAAAAGGTGCTATAGGAGCTCTCAGAGGAGAAAAGATATGGACCCTTGCTCACCAAGACCTTCTTAAATCCTTGGGTTCTGGGAAGGAATTCAAACAATGTGAAGGCCTCCAAACCAAGGTCAGAACATTGCCAATAGTTGTTCAAACATCAGAATATCTTAGGCCAATTAATATTGAGTAGATGCAGTTCTTAGTTTCTTTGCTGTTGTTTGAAAAGTAAATTGTTGCCTAGTGAAAAAGCAGGATCATGTTGACAGTTTTACTGCAACTCTCCTTCCTTCTCAAGGATCTACATCAGCCAATTTACCTTACTCTAAATTATACTTTTGTCTTTTTAGCACTCCCCTTGATGTTGTAGAAATTATTTTTAATATTGTCATCCATGCTTGTTTACAGTCCTACTTCTGTTTCTTGTTGTGTCCCTCCCTTACACACAGATCAATGTTTACATTATTGTCTCATGACTGAACTTTAATGTTGTCCCATTAGGATACCCATTTTTTCAGTATTCAAAACTTTTCTTCAGATCTCAACATATTGTAGGAATAAGCCACATTATTTAAATCAATTCAAATTACTCCCAATTTAATGTTTCCAGCCCATCAAGCGATGTATTTCTTTTTTTTTTTTAATATATGTATCTTTATTGATTTCATAGAGAGGAAGGGAGAGGGGGAGAGAGAGAGAGAAACATCAATGATGAGAGTCATTGATCGGCTGCCTCTTGCATGTCTCCGACTGAGGATCGAGCCCGCAACCCGGGCATGTGCCCTGATCAGGAATCGAACTGCGACCTCCTGGGTCCTAGGTCAATGCTCAACCACTGAGCCATACCCAACCAGGCAAGAGATGTATCTTTAAAGGTTTACTATTTCAAAGGAATGATCCTGTAATGGTGAAATGTAGGCAATGTTAAGAGATATGGCGTGAAGGGGGCATTTGTTGGCATTCCTAAAATTATACCATATAGGAAAACTCCACAATTGCTATTTGATATAGCTTTTTTTTACTCACCCTATGCTCCATTCCTTTGTGGACTTCTTTCCCTTAATGAAAACCTACTGAGTCTATGCCCTAAATCTTGACTCCTAAAGATGTCGTTAGTTGACTGAATGATGCTCAGATGTTAATAAATGACAACTGCTTAATACTGTGCAAATTCATTTGTAATACATTTAAAGGACAGAATCTGATTACTGATTGGACACAGTAAAGGAACGAAGACAGTCAAATATGACCCTGATCTTTTGAGTTTGGAGCTCATTCTGCCCTCAATTATAAACCTGCACTTTCTATTAATTTATACCCATGTAATTGAAACAAAAGAATGACCTTTGAACAATTGCCTTTATATCACTTTAATGAAATTGCGCTGGGAGTTTTTTCTACTGTTATGAGAGGCCAGTTTAGCATTGTAATTTTTCTGCAGATGTATTTTGGAAGAGGAAGGATGACTTTAAAGGGTCATGAATATCAAATTGTCCTCTCATGAATGACACACTTGAAGTGTTAGGTGAAATTTACACTATGGCTCTCCTTTGGGAATTCCTTACATTGCTAGTTTTCTTTAATCAAAACACAAGAGGAAATAAGTGAAGTGAGACACACAAATGCTTATAGAAAAGTGCAGAATTCTCAAACCAATGAGGTAACAAATTTATATAGCATATATTGGAATAGACTTTGCTTTGTAGGGCTCTGTATCTGAAAAAGCAAGTGAAAGTCCAGTAATTTGGTAATTTATTATACCAATAGCTTATATTTATTAAGTGCCTAATCTGTGCCAGACACTTTTATTTGTAGGTTGCCATTTAATCCTCACAGCAACTCCTTGAAGGAATTATTGATATATTTCCTGTTTTTCCAATGAAGAAAATGAAACATAGATAGGTTAAGTAATTTTCCCAAGGTCACAAATGCTGAGCTACTAGTTGAACCCAGGTCATCTTACTCTAGGAAGAGTATTCTTAACAGATAATTATACGATATCTACCTCTTTTCATAGGACTGTCACCTTCCAAAACAGATTCTTCTCATCTTTTTAGACTACTAAATCATCTTTATACATTATTCTGCTTAGCTACTAGTTTGGTTGACTTTTTCAGTTTATAATTACATATTCTGATTTTACAACTATAGATAGCTACAATACAAAAACACAAAAGAGTGCTTTGTCTCCATGTTTGGTTTCCTTCTATAGATATGTTATCAATCACATATTTCAAAATATTATCTAGTGTAATTTCTTATTTATTTGTCACATCTGGCAACAGTGAAGCTTTAAGATCTTGTATAAAAGACTGTTTGTTTTAAAGTGAGGTTTTCTTGAACTACATATTTTTTATCTATTTATTCCTTAGTGTCTATTCAATGACATATGAAAGAACCCTTAGAATTCCTTCCAGAATGAGGAGTGTGCTCTGTAGTTACCCTTCTCATTCATTCTAAACTTATCTATTTTCCTTTGCAGCGCTGTGTAACCTTCAGCCCTTGGAAGCCCTCTTCGTTATTTTGCGGGAATCTGCTCCCAAAGTCAAATCCAGTGGATGGTAAAGATGAATGACTTAATTTCCCAAACACATTAACTTGATATTTTTTATTTAGCAGAGAAGTTTTAATTCATTTGGTCAGTCCTGATTCAACATCTTTTTTGGACAATATTTCCTAAAATTCGATATCTTAAGAGTGGGGGTCTAAATGACCAGTTTTCTTTAAAAAACTAGTATAGTCCTGACATTAATGGTGTATTCAGTTGTTTCTCCAGTAATGGGATGGACCAATGGAAACCATTTGTAGCACTTTTCACTGTACCTAGACAGGCAGTCAGTGATTGTGACACACAATCCAGTTGTTTGGCCCATTAAACTAAACATCCAGAGACCTAGAAAAGAAGACTTTTTCTCCCAGGCCGACTAAACTTGGGAACAGTTTTCAATGAAGCTTTTTGATCTAGTACTTGACATTCTTGTTTATTATGGTTGCTTGCCCTTGTAGAAGTGGTGACTGTGATTTGATCACTAACATTCTTGCTTGTGATTCAGTTTAACCCTTCCCACAGATACAGGCTTTCTGTCCACATCTGATTTCATGGGCCATTTTATAAAGTTAGTTAGTCTCAGTAACACCCATTTTGGGGGATCATTATATCTAAACTTCTGTAGTTCAAAGTCTATATAGTCAAGTGAAGCATTCAGATTTCAAAGTGTGACTGCTGTGGGCTGACCAATCTAGTCTCATGGTCTACATTTATTACACTAACCACTTAATTGCCATTCCACCACTTGACTTTTTACCATGTACATACATACTTCTGTACTCATTGAAATTTCTACTATTATTTCGGTAGAAAATGCCAATAACTCTGATCACCTCTGGGGTTTGAATGACATTGTTGTGTAATGTATATTTTCAAACTGCAGGATACTTAGCAATTGAAAAGACAATTATAGTGAGAGGCAACTCTTTCCACAAATATGACCTTCATAGTGGCATGTGGGTGGGTGTGGTAAGACTGAGAATGCTCTTTCATCTCTTTGACTCATGTCTTTTAGGTCTCGCAAGTTCCACAACTTCATGGAAAAATGCATGATAAAAAACTTCTTATTTCGTCCCACTTCTGCAAATATGCTTCATCACCCATTTGTTCGGAACATAAAAAATGAAGGACATATTATTGAGTCACTAAAGAAGCATCTTACTGGAATCATTAAAAAGAGACAGAAAAAAGGTAGTATATATGAACTTTCATTTTACTGGAATGACTATTCAGGTGCAAGTGGAACTTACTCTTTTTTTTTTTTATTTTCAGGAAAAATATCTTTTTTTAAGAATTAAGCTGAAAGTAAAAGTTCTGATGCCCTCAATAATTAGTTTTCCTACTAATGTGCCATGTGCATTTAATTCATTATCTCTGGCCAGTTACAACTGGCAAGCATTCATATTTACAAACACCTCAAAAGACTCAGGAAGAATTTTGGGATGTGCCAATTTTATTTTTTTTTAAACTCCTAGCTAAAGAAATAATGTAAATAAAAATATAAAATCTATATCTTACTGGGGTTTTTTTGGCTGACATTTTAATTAACTCCAATGAGATAAACGGCTTTGTAATTAACCATTTATTGACTTTAAAATTTGAAATCTGTGCACCATACAAAGTTTGTTTTATGCACTAATCTCCAACTATAAAATGTAATTAAAGGAACTAATTTATACAAATAAAAGTAAGCTTCTATATGTTAATACCAAAAATGGCAAGATGGATTATCATCAAATCCAGAGGAATCCACTTAGGGAATTCTACCGTATAGGTTGTATGGAATATTCCACATTTAATTTGGGGCCCCATAGAGAAAGTTGAGAGTGGTGATACAGTGGAAAAGGGGGAACCTGAAAAATATAGCAGGCATTCTCAAATTAGCTTCAGGATTGATTGCAGTGGAGCTTCTTTCATCTGCATAACTATATGTATCCTATTTTGGAGTGAGAAGCAACAAGAATTAATTTATTTAATCATGGTGGAGAATTCATTGGATGAGCATCACAAAAGCCAGCCAGTCTCAAACAAGTGCAGGAAGACCCCACATCTATTTGACTTGCTAACTTCCAGAGTTGCAAATTTTCCAAACTGTTACCTACAGGAAAAGTCACATTCATATGAAGATTACATGAAAGATGTAAATATAATTGCCCTAAACACTTTAATATAGCTTTAAAAAAAAAAAAAAAAAGCCTCTCTCATTTGTGCCTATATTTTAGTACAGCACAGCTAACAGAAAAAGGCTGAACTTTTCAATGCATTAAATATGAAACCCAGAATTTTGATTTTTCGCCTTCTTGAAAGGACAGAAGATCCTTATCCTCATATTCAATCCTCTTTGAAAGGACTAAAGATAGGTGTTGGTCCAAACTATAAAGTCCTCACATCTAGAGCACACACACCTGTAAGCCATGCTCACCAACCATCTAGAGTTTCTCTTGTCCATTTCTTCCTTTGCCTTTCTAGTTCTTACTCTTTAGAATTGTAGCAATCAGATTGCTAAATTTTCTTTCCTGTGTCTGTATAGAACAGCTACTCTGTGCTGCAAAAGTGGATTTAAGAACCTGAATATTATCTACATCACCAACCAGATGTGATTTGAAGGGTTACCTTCTTGTTGTTCTAAATGCACTCAACATCCTGAGCAATAGAGGGTGAAAGTTGGATTAGCTGGATTACATTAATCTCTGCTGATTGTTATGAATTATTTTTTCTTTCATAAAAAGGAATACCTCTGATCTTTGAAAGAGAAGAAGCTATTAAGGAGCAGTACACCATGAAAAGATTCAGGTGCGTTAGACAAATTACATATAGAATTTGATGTTAGCAATTCATGTAAGACAGAATTCCATACTGTTGTATTTGACTCAGAAAAAATTAATCCCTTCTCATACAACAAATAACAAATCTCTATTTTCAAGAGATATTTGTGTGGAAATGTTGAGGAAAGTGTTTGATTACTATTAAAAGATTCTTTAATTTCTAACAATAGAATGATCAAGTAAATTATCAGACCATTAATATTAAGTATATTAGTAATACAAATAATATTTTAGACATTACTGGAATAATTCAAGAAATATATACTAACAATATCTTTGGTGCAGAAAATATTTATCTTTTAAAATAAAAACATTTCCCCTGAATGGCTTCCTCCACTGACAATTCTAATTGTATGGCAAACGTTTGCATTTTCGTTTCTAGAGGACCTTGTTGTACCCATGAGCTTCTGAGACTGCCTACCAGCAGTAGATGCAGACCACTTAGAGTCCTGCATGGAGAACCCTCTCAGCCAAGGTGGTTACCTGATCAAGAAGACCCACAGGTCCAGGCACTCCAGCAACTACAGGGAGCAGCCAGGGTGTTCAAACCACTACAGGCTCAGGGCAATGCACCTAGGTCTCTACAAGGGCGAGCCCAGGCACCTCAGCGACTACGAGGGGCAGCTCAGGTGTTCATGCCACTACAGGCTCAGGTTAAGTTTAAAAAGTCTAGGCCCCTACAGATGCAGATTAAAGCACCTCCCCGACTACGGAGGGCAGCCTGGATGCTCATGCCACCACAGGCTCAGGCTAAGGCACCTAGGCCTCTTCAACTACGGGCCCAGGTACCCAAAGACCAGCAAGCTCAGGCTCAGCCTCAAGCATCAGAAGAGCCACAGGATCTGGACCAGGTACCAGAGGAATTTCAGGGGCAAGATCAGGTACCTGAACAACAACAAAGGCAAGGCCAAGCCCCTGAACAACAGCAAGGGCAGAACCAGATACCTGAACAGCAGCTGGAGCAGAATCAGGTACCTGAACAGCCAGAGGTACAGGAACAGGCTGCTGAGCCCACACAGGCAGAAAGTGAGGCAGAGGAACCAGAGTCATTACACATACATGCCCAGGTGTTCTTGCCTCTGCTGTCACAGAACCACCATGTGTTGCTGCCACTACATTTGGATACTCAGGTGCTCATTCCAGTAGAAGGACAAACCAAAGAGTCACCTCAGGCACAAGCCCAGGCACCAGAGCCCCCACAGGCAGTTGGCTCAGTTCAAGCACTGATAGAGGGACTATCAAGAAACTTACTTCGAGCTCCAAATTCACATAACTCAAAGCCACTTGGACCACTGCAAACCCTGATGGAAAACTTGTCATCAAACATGTTTTACTCTCAACCAGAACAGGCACAGAAGAAAAAATCAAAGGTTTCTAGTCTAAGGCAGGCATTGGCGAAAAGATTATCACCAAAGAGGTTCCGGGCAAAGTTATTACGGAGACCTGAAGAGTTTGAGCTCTCAGATTTAGAAGCCTGCAGGCGAAGGCGCCAACGCAGATGGGAGGAAATCTTTAATCAACACGAGGAAGAACTGAGACAAGTTGCAAGTGTAAGAGATTCTGATATTTTTACTGAGTGAAATATGCAGAGAAAATATGCTTCTTCACACTTACGTTTTCCCTCTGTAAAACCAAATGAGATAAATATTCTTTGTGTCCCAGAGAAGTTTAGGTAAATAATTTATGCTTTATATAAATGATCCTGAAATTTCCAGATAATTGTGACTTAATTTGAGAAAGAAAAATTTGCTTGAATGATCCAGGTAATTGCTTAATATCTCTGTAGAAATATAGCTTTAATTATTAGTTTTCTAACTATTATTCCCTTAACTAATAAAAGGACATCATACACATATTTAAAATTACTAGTTAGATCTTCTTTAACTTTATTTTTATTGTTTACACTATTACAAATGTCCCCATTATCCCCCCCTTTGCCCACCTCCATTGCCCTTACCCCTCTTCCCTCTGGCCAACACCACACTGTTGTCCATGTCTATGGGTTATGCATTAGTTGGATCTTTAAAAATTACTTTCAAAGTTCAAACTATCCAATACCTATATAACGTTTATTAACCAGTGTCACCCCAATAAATTCAATAAATTTTTTAAAAGCTTTCCAATATAATGTATTAAAAATAAACTCAAAAACAAGTAAAAAAAAACCCAATTTTTATTTCTTTCTTCTAACTTTTTTTGTTTGTTCTTCTAATATCTAAATTAGTTTTTTTGTTCTTTCCTTTCATGGAATGCTTAACTGTACCATTTAAGTGAATTGCACTAATTTTTGTACTTCAAGGTGTTTAAGTCAAGCTTAAAATGAGAAGGGAAATCAGTTTCTAAACCATATACACTGACTATATGTTTGACTTGTCTCACTAATTTTCCACCCATTTTACATAATTAATAAATGAAATGGCTGCGTAGAACATGACACATTACAAATTTGTCTTTGCAATCTTTCAAAATGTGGGACACATGATGTTAATCTCTATCATATTTTAGAATAGTCAACAAAACTTTGTTCTTTCAAAATTCTGTAATATAAGTGGATATAATTTGGCTGAAGTTGATGATCTCAATGTGACAAATCTGATCTGACAATGAAGGGTTTGTGGGCTTCATGAGAAAATTAATGAGGTCAACAAGATTAGGAGAAAATTTATTTTCCAATACTTCAAAGCATCTGTTTACATAAAAAGAAGTCATTGTGAGGATCCCAAATTAAACCCTGGTATCAACACCCATTTAATCTAATAATAATTAATGTAATAATTAAAAATGGACTTTGTCTGAATGTCTGGTCAACGGAGTCTTTTGGTTTGTGCCCATTGAGCCAATTGAACAAATGTTATTTCCCTGATATATTTAACATGAGCAAAATTAAAAGCAGCAAGAGCCCAGCCAGCATGGCTCAGCAGTTGAGCATCGACCTCTGAACCAGGAGGTCAAGGTTCAATTCATGGTCAGGGCACGTGCCCTGGTTGCAGGCTCCATCCCCAGTAGAGGGCATGCAGGAGGCAGCCGATCAATGACTCTATCATTGATGTTTCTATCTTTCTCTCTTCCTCTCTCTAAAATCAATAAAGACATATTAGAAAAAAAATCTTCCATCTACTTATCTCCCATCCAGCACATTAATTCAATCATTCTCTCATTTAAAAATAATAAATAAATAAATAAATAAATAAATAAATAAATAAAGACAGCAGCAAGAGAAGAAAAGCCCAAAAAAGGAAATGGATATCTAATCCCAAAAAATGAGAGACAGGGAGGAAAAAAAAACAGATAGAAGAGGAGATATGAGTCCAGAATGGTGGTATTTGCCCTGAAATTGGGCAAATTGCTAATCTAAATTGCTAATGACTATTCTCAATGAGCCCTAGTAATAACTGAATCTAATAGGTTTTGCATTAGTAAAAAAGACTTTTATGCATCTTTGTAAAACTCTTAGTATTCTATGCACGTATTTATTGTAATTTAATGTTTTGAACATATGTGTGAGAAACGACTCTATAATCAAAGAAAAAGTTAATAAGTAACAGTTACTAATCTCATGACTCTAGGATCTTGTACAGGCATTCATATCTTTATGTGTGACTGCTAAAGAAAACAAAGGAAAAGTACATTATTGTTACTGTAGTCAAAGTCATAGGTCTTTTGAAATACCTGAAAATTTATTAGCACTTAGAGGCATATATGAGTGCTTCAACCCACCAGAAGCAAAAACAAAAAAAAAACAAAAAAAAAAACACATTTTCATTACTCTCTTTGAGTAGAAGAAATAATATTGACTGGATAAATGGGAAAACAGAAACTTTTGTAAACTTCAGGGCTCAGTTAGGGAGAAATATTTGCACTGCTGTATAACAGAACTTCCATTGCACAAGAGGACTAAACTTTGTAGTTATCAATGCATACTAAACATGACAGTTTGGGGTTGTAAGTTAAGCTTTAGACCAGAGATTCTTTTTTTTTTTTTTTTTAATTTATTAGGGTGACATTGGTTAATAAGATCATATAGATCTCAAGTATACATTTCTATCATACATGATCTGTGAGATCACCACCCAAAGTCAAGTCAACTTCCATCATCATATATCTGGCCCGCTTTACCCTCTACTATCCCCCTACCCCCTTCCCTCTGGTAACCACCATACTGTTGTCTGTGTCTATGAGTTTCAGTTTTATATCCCACATATGAGTGAAATCATATGGTTCTTGGCTTTTTATGACTGACTTATTTCACTTAGTATAGTATTCTCAAGGTTCATCCATGTTGCAGCAAATGGCAGTATTTCATCTTATCACTGAGTAGTATTCCGTTGTATATATGTACCACATCTTCTTTACCCAATCATCTATCAAAGGACACTTTGAATGTCTCCATGTCTTGGCCACTGTGAATAATGCTGCAATGAACATAAGGGTGAAAATATCTTTGTGAATCCACAGATTCTTAATCTGGGTGAGCTGCAAGTGATCAAGATTCCCCTGAAAATATAGGCAGACATGTGTGTCTATATGCAGTTTTCTATGGAGAATCTGTAGCATTCCTCAGATTCTGAAAGAGACCCAGAACCAAAAACTAGTAAAAACTACTGGTTTAAGTCAATTTTAATATTTGAAAATTATTCATTTACATTATATATCAGTCTGATAAGGTTGCTCCTATAATTTGCATTTTAACAAAAATTAAAATATTTATTTTCCTTTTGTTTCAAAAGGACAAAGAAGATGAATCATCAGACAATGATGAAGTATTTCATTCAATTCAGGCTGAAGTCCAAGTAGAACCATTGCAGCCATACATCCGAAATCCTGAAGGAAATGAGGTAAGTTTCTCAATATTATTTGCTGTGACATTAATAAGTGCCTAGAACAGTGGTTCTTAAACTTTTTGGTCTCAGGATCTCTTTATACTCTTAAAAATTGCAGAACCAAAACACTTTTCTTTATGTGATTTGTGACATTCAATATTTAATGTATTAAAAATTGAAACAAAAAATTAAAATATTTATTAATTTATTTAAAAATAATAAAACTATTACATGTTAACCTAAGAAACAATTTTTAATGAAAAATAACTATTATCCATTTTGCTTGCTGGATTCTCATATCTGTTAATCTGTTGCCATATGTTTTTAGGTCAAAATATATGAATAAAAACTGGCTTCTCACATAAAGGTAGTTTGAAAATTTTCATAGCTTTTTCAGATAATTGCAGATATTCTTTGATAATACACAAAAATTGGAGTTGTTCTTTTTCTCTAACAGACTGACAGATTTCAGAGGGAAGGCAAGGGAGGGTGGGTGAGTGGGGAGAGATTAACCAAAGAACTTATATGCATATATGCATATATGCATAACCTATGGACACAGACAATAGTGTAGTGTGAGGGTAGGTTGGAGTGGGTCAATGGGGGAAAAGTGGGACATCTGTAATACTTTCAACAATAAAGATAAATTTAATAAATAAATAAAATCTCAAAAAAACAAAAACCTTGGAGAAGTGGAATCTAAAACCATATAAATGAAATTTTGTATATTTGGTAACATTAAAATCTATTGGTCTGTTATGTGCTATAAATAGATGTTTTTTTCATGCACAATTTTGTATCTTTATATATTGGTCAGTTGGAAAATATTGATTCACTATTTATGTAGATCTTTCCAAATTTTTACACAATATATTTCATTATACACCATCAAAAACCAGCATTTATTAATATCACCATCACTTTCATCATAAATATTATTGAGTATTGATAAACTGTAAAGTTCATGGTGACAGATATGAGTTTAAATTTTTAATTCTTTTTTTTTCCCAAAAATAAATCTTTATTGATTTCAGAGAGAGGAAAGGAGAGGGGGAGAGAGAGATAGAAACATCAGTGATGAGAGAGTCATTGATTGAGCCCGCAACCCGGGCCTGTGCCCTGACCGGGAATTGAACCCTGATCGCCTGGATCCCAGGTTGACGCTCAACCGCTGAGCCACGCCTGGCTGGGCATAAATTTTTAATTCTCACTGAAAGCTCATTTTTATCATTGCTAACAATGTTAGTTGTTTTTTCCTTGAATTGACAAGCTTATTTCACTGATTATAAGTAAAATGTCTGCCACATACCCAAGTTGAACAATCATGGTTTATCTTGTCAGTCAATTTTTTAAGTGAAAGCATTGCTTATAAAATTTGATTGATTGTTCAGCTTATAACATCAATAACTGTCATGAATAAGTGCTTAGAACAGTGGTTCTTAAAGTATTTGGTCTCAGGATCTCTTTTTTAAAATATAAGATAATTTTATTTTTTTCTTTCTGCTTTCTTTTTTATTGAATTTATTAGGGTAATATCGGTTAATAAAATTATACACGTTTCAGGTACACAATTCTACAATACATCATCTGTGTATTATATTGTGTGTTTACTACCCCAAGTTAAATCTCCTATCACCATTTATCCCCCTTTTACTTTCTTCTATGTCCTTCACATCCCCCCTTTCCGCCGGCAGTCACCATGCTGTTGTCTGTGTCCATGAGTCTTTCATTTTTTTCTGTGCTTAATCCCTTCGCCCTTCTCACCCAGCCATGTGTATCATTTTCCCTGATCATCTCTGTTCTGGGATGTAGTTTACAACAGGGTCTGGCTCATCTAACCTGTGGTTTACTTTCTTACACTTTGGGGAGTAAGTAAATCAGTCCTGGTGTCCAGGCTGGCTTTTGTTTTCACAACTATACTAATAGCTGTTTAGCATATGGTATTGGTGAGGCTCAAGTTGCAATTTAAATGCCTGTATGTACAAGGTAGTATCATCATAGCCAGCATTTCTAACAGCTAGCCATCTATAAAGTTCTTGGTTACTAGGGATGACTAGGTGGATGGGTGAAAACTCAAAAGTCCTTGCCTAACTGATAGTGGGCCAGGAGTTTCACTGTTGGTCTTAATCAGCCCAGTGGCCCCAGGTAACTACATTTCTTCCTTCAGAACACTTCACAGCAGTCTACTGTGACATCTGTCATGGACAATTATCCTTTTTAAATATGTTTTTTGTGATTCCAACAGTCTTCTGAAGTGAGTATTGTTTTATAAATACTAACCACAGGCAAAAGAAGCAGAAGCTAGATTGTATTATTTAGTTACAAGCAGCAATATGTCTCCCTTTCTACCTTATAAAATGATGATTTTACTCTTAATCTCAGGTAGTAATTATTACCTTAAGCATGACACCTAAAGCAGGAAATACAATGAGCTGTGATTGGTTTGCCTTAGCATATGCTATTCTTACTATTCATTATCTTCTCCCCATTTTTCAGACCAAATATGGCCAATTCATATTAAACATTAGCCTTTCTTATTTTTGGCCTTTATCTTTTCTATGTAATTTTGGCCTCTGGTTTACTAGTGTCAATAAACTTTCTGAGATCAGCTTCATGAACTAAGAGGCCTCGCCTGGGTCAATATGATGCCAGCTATTTGAATCAAAAGTGGAAAAAGTCAGTCAGATGCTTATTCTGCATACTGCCAAATACCTGGTTAGATTTGGAAAAACTCATTAGCAAAACATGTGAACAACTGATATTTTTCATTTCTTATCTGTCTCTCTGTTGTAGTGTAAGACAATCTTGGTAAGTAACTATAGAGAGAAAAAAATAGTGTAGTAAGGTTAGGACAGTTTCTAGAAACTATAGAGTGATTTTTATCAGCATGAAAATGCCAGATTTTTTAAAAATTGTAACACTCAAATTTTCCTTTCTAAAGAATCTAGTCTGACTGCCTTGTTGAATGTCAAAATGACCTATTTTGGGGGGTAGCTAAAAACTATTTTGAGAAGAAAGCCAGTGGTGTAAAACTAAATGAGGAAATGTTAGTGGAAAGTAAATCTGCCCCACTGGTGGAAGCTGGCATATTATATATGCTTTTTTAGGGTGTTTTGCTGTATTAAATAAATTAATAACTAATACAATTCAAATGAATTCATTTAGACTTGAAAAAAGTACTTGGAAGACTGTCATTTCAGTCAAATTGTAAATTGAAAAACACTTTTTAAAAAATGGGACACTTTTGACTCAAGAGATTGTAATCATGTGTATGTGTGTGTGTTATACTTTTTGAAAATCTAGGGTTAGTTTAAAAGGGTGAGTGAGTGAGAAATTTGAACTCAAATTCTGAGTGGGAACTTTGGACTTGATATAAAAAGTAATGTGAAAACATAGAAAGAACATTAAATTAGCAATTGGAAGACCTATATTCTGATAGTAGATATTCTTTGACTTGATGTAAAATCTTTAAAAAGAAATTTTCCCTTTCTGGGCTACAGATTTCTCAATAACAAAATGAGGGTGTTTGGTTATATGATCTCCAGAATCTATTATACTAAATTCAAGGCTATCATCAGAAATTATGGATAAGCAGTTCTAACATTATAAGTAATTATGAAAATATAAATTATTTCTAAAAATTAGATTTTATAAGTTGTATTTTTAGGAAAATATCTCTACATGAAGAAAGACATTTATCCATAAATTAAACTCAAAAGAATTTATGATGGAGAATTGTATCAAAGTATTGCATTGTGTCTTTAAGATTGAAGAAAGATCTACTTCTTCACCTTATAACCAGGATCATGCACACCATGTGAAGTTCTCTTCAAGGTATGTGTCTCTGATTTTTTAATTCACTATTTACTATCACATGGAAAATTAAAGCTTATTTACTCAACACTAAGTTCTGTGTGAAGTTGAAACTAGAATATCAATAACAACATCATCATCAACGGCCTATATTTAAAACCTTAATTGCAATGATCCATTAACTAGATCTTTCATATTCAGATGTACGCACTCTCAGCATCATTTAGTTTGATAATTAGCTGGTAAGATTCTCAATTTAATAAAAGTAACAGCAATGAATTCTTTGACAGCTTTTTATTAGTAATTTACAATAAAAACAAGTCTAATTTCATTTGTATCATGTACTTCAAATACAAATTTTATCATGTACTATATGATAAAATATACACATAAATAAGCCCTAACCTCAGAAGCTAATGACACAAAATGTGCAAGCCTGAAATGATCTATAGGGAAAATCAAATCTAAAACTCAACTTTATATCAATGATAGTTTGTACCAGTCACTGTATTTCTTATCTCTGTAATACTGGTGAATTTCAGTAATTTTCGAAGTTCATGATTTATATTTTAGATGTTGTATTCAAAAACTAAATCAAAAGTAGATTTTCCTTGAAAATCACACCTCCTCCAACCGCAATTTGTAATGGATACAACTTAGCCTATATTCATTCACTCAGTCATTCAGTAAATATTTATTGAGCACTGACTGTATTTAAGATAATGGACAGCATGTCCAGATGGCATAGAGTTGATAGTATTTAGTATGTATATTCCTATCTTGTTATATTTTAAAAATCTATATATTTATGTCCTTGGATATAAGTTATGTGTAGAAACCTTGGAAAATTTGAAAGCTGGTTGGGAAATTTTTCTTTCTCTGCATTCAGTGCGTGAGTTTTTATGGTCCTTCTGACCACAAAGAGAGAAAAGAACCACTTTAGTTTTGTGTATCTG